TATATATATATATATATATATATATATATATATATATATATATATAATATTGTAATATAATTATTTTAAAATATTTTACAATTCTATACCACATGTGATAAAGTCAAACAATTCTTCATCGTTAGTGGCGCAATTATGCTCTTCACTGTATCTCCCCCCTTTTTCCGTTCATCGTCTTGAGAAATGAGGAATCGACTTACACACATAAATGTACAATTGTTAGAAAATTTCCCTCGGATCTAAAGTATGTACACTTTGGGTGGGGGACTTTTCTCGATCGCGGTCGATCTTGCGGAAACGTTCCCAAAGATCTTTCCGATCTCTCTCGCCGGTACCGATCACAGAATCGTTGCCAAAGTTTGCTCATCGACAATATTGTCTCTGGCCTCTCGAATAGTCAGCAGGCGTTCTTCATCCGCCATGCTGTACCACTATCCGGATCTCCCATTAGCTGGCGAGGAACGTTTTGCAAGACCGGTTAGGACGATAGTCACAGCTGGACCTCGAGACATTCTACTCTGCATTCTCCTGATTTAGCCGCAGCTACTCTTCCCCGAGAGGTTGGCTTTTTTCCAAATAACCGGCGAATTGAATCGAGCAATAGCCACCGTAAGCAAACAAGTCGCCATTCGTTTCAGCGTTTCCCTTAGTTTCTCGGATGATTTCTCTTGTTACCGAACTCGTGTCTCTCACAACGTCTCTCTGGTTTGATCGAGCGTATTCTTCGAACGGCAACTTTCTACTTAGACGAGAGAACGATATCGTGGAACCTCGTGATTTTGTATTTTGATATGTTTAATTATTTTAGGGCTTTTTCCCCTCAGTTCCTCTTGTTACTAGCTTCTCTCTCGAACTTGTGCCTCTTAATGTTTCGTTTCATTAGTGAGGACATTCTTTTGAACAACAATTTGCTACTTAGAGGAGAAAATGATATCGTAAGTTTCTTGTGATTTCTCGTACTTTGATACATTCAGTTGATTTTTTTAATGCCATTTGTTTCAATGTTTCTCTCAGTGTCTCGTGATTTTCGTATTTATAACAAAAATGTTTAGGTCATACTCTACAGACACGGAGAAAGATGTTCTCACCAGATATTGCTAAAATTATTACTGGTAATGAGCATAACCTGCGAAAGTTTTTTATCCCACTTAAAAAGATTATATTTCTTGCGAATTAAGGAAATTAAAGAATTGTGTGTTTGGATATATTCGATAAAAAAAAACATGTACATAGAATCGATATTTATAAACGGTTGTTTTTATATATAAACTTAAAATTTCCAACTATGCATATATTCCCCTTTATAATGGAGGATGATATCCATAATCCATAAATAAATTGGAACCAGGAGCTCGGAACTAAACGTAGAATATGAACTCCAAAATTCATTTTTTATTCATATCAAGATACTTCGTAATCTCATATACATATTTCGTAATGGACGTCCAATTTCACAGGCCAACGTGTCCTAATTTGTGAATTACAGATAACATGGTAAAATGTGCATTTTATGAAAATGAGCAACGTGTGACGTTTGTTGCTTCTAAAGAGCAGGGTCTTAATTTACTGACTCGCTTTCGATCTCCGATTAACAAGGAATTATTTTATTGCCGTTTTCGTTAGCTCTCGAGATGACTTAGTTTCCTATATATACTGTCGTGGAAGAATGGACGCTCGAGGGATCGAGGTGAGTAATCGTGACGTTGATGTTGTTCGCAGACTCTGGATCTGAAAGCGGGTCGCACAAAGCTGGCGTGGGTGGTACTCGAGGATCGGGCGGCCATAAAAGCGGCGGCGGTTCTGACGGCAAACCAACCAGAGTCCGCACTGTTCTAAACGAGAAACAGCTTCACACACTGAGGACTTGCTACGCCGCGAATCCGCGGCCGGACGCGCTGATGAAGGAACAATTGGTCGAGATGACCGGCTTGAGTCCACGTGTGATCAGGGTATGGTTCCAGAACAAACGGTGCAAAGACAAGAAGAAAACCATCGCCATGAAGCAACAGATGCAGGAGAAGGTTAGCACTCGAGTTTTGAAATCATCACGGTTTTATCCGCGGAGATAGATAAATGAATGCGATGATGCCTTTTTTTAATACTCTATTCTATAATAACATCGTGTGTATGTAATTGGAAACAAAGGGAACCAAATGGATGAGATCTTCGATCTTGAATCGACTTTGAAGTTCAAATACGTTACAGAAATACGTCTCTTGTATTTAATATTTGATAGTGAGGAGCACATAAAAAATATTAAATAATATAACAAACATTATTCAAGTATCATAGAATTATTAATATTTTTTAATATTATTATTTTTAAATTAGAATAGATGCTCGTAATCAATTAATAATATTTTTCTCTTGTAAGTAAATGAAATTCTGATTATTAAATGTGAACTATCGGCTGTATCGTTTGTATTAATACTCGCATTTGAAGCCACAATTTAACGAACGAAGGTGTTTTATGTCGCAGGATGGCCGTAAATTAGGCTTTGGCGGAATGCATGGAATTCCCATGGTGGCTAGTAGTCCCGTGAGACACGAGAGCTCCATAGGAATAACACCGCTAGAAGTTCAAGCTTATCAACCACCGTGGAAAGCACTTTCAGATTTCGCCTTACATACCGATTTGGACAGGCTAGATCCCAACACCCCTTCTTTTCATCATCTGGTATCACAGGTAATTGATTGATTGATCACAGACACGTTGAAAATAAAAATAAATACAAAAATATATTTATGGGGTACTATTCTAGTAATAGATAGAAACAAATGTCTACACACACTCAGTCACAAAGATCTACAAGATCTATGTTTCAAATACATTTAAAACAGAAAAGGGAAGATTTGGACATTTTATAGATTTAATTAAATTAATTTGTTGGTTAAAATTAGATACCAAAATTCCAATATTATCAACGTTTGTTTAAAAGTGAATGAAAAACAAAATCTATACCAATTTGTATCTAATAATTATCCTATGTATCAAAAAGTGAGTAAATCTTATATCTATATCCTTACAATATAATAATATATTACAGTATAATATAATTATAATTGCAATAATAAAAAGAACATATTTTGCACTGTTTAAAGATCAAGCAATAATAAATTCAATTTCTTTAAATTTAAGCGAATCTTTATATCCTTTATAATTTCCTTCCATAGTTCCAATACTAAAAAATGTGATTTGACAATATGAATTGATTGAAAAGGATTACAAATAAAACGTTACATTCGTCGTTAACAGTCGTATTATCTTAATAGTAAAACAACTATTTCCCTTCTTAATCGATTCTTTTCATTATGGATCACAATTTACTTTCTCACGGTAGAATTTTGAATCCTTGTTGGGAATTTTACTTGTTCTAAGAATTCTCTGGAAGCAATAGGAGTACATAGAAGTATATATCAAGCAGTATTTCTAATTTTGTGCTCCCTAGGAAGCACGCACAAAACACACTTGCCATTCAAAGTGTTAAATATTTGATTCTGTAGCTGTTTAACGATGCCCGTAGATAAACGATTAATATTTAATTTTAGATGCACGGTTACGATCTCCACAGCGGACCACCACAATTACCACCGCCAGGGATGCTCGGTGGGCCAATGAATGACGGTGGAGGCGGCGGGGGTGGTGGTTCTTTACCAGCCCCTGGACCACACCATCCGAATAGCGGCGGCCCAGACATGGGCCAACACCCCGACAGCACGGATAGCTATGTAACTTATCTGGAAAGTGACAGTGACTCTCTTCATCACGATACAGGAAGTCCATAGTGTTGTGCAGTGTGGCCAGAACGAAAGTGTCCGCTTTCTTCGTGGTCTTCTTTCAATAAGTGCTTGAAGAGAATCGTAGTCTGCGAGAACAAGTAGGGTGATTGATGAACGGCTGAAAACGGAATAAAAATCAATTGAAAAGTTGCTGCTTTTTTTTCTGAAACAAAGCTTGACTCTTTCGCGTTCAACCCTCACCCCCACAAGGTCACACCTCCGTGATATTACACGTTACGTAACTGGATTTTGCAAGTATAATTTCTTATTACGGAATTCTGAGGAAATTTTGTCTTTCGAAAAACAGCACTTCGTGTGTAAATTTATGAACAATATGATTTGTCTTAAAACTCGGAGGAACCTTAAGGGGTTAATTTGATCGTATTGTCAAAAAAGGGCACAGGTTAATTATCTTTCGGGTCAAGGGAAAATTTCTTATAAGACGCGTTCTAGTAAAAATTCTATTTTTCCGGTATTCTTCGATAAAGTTAAAATTATTATCGACAGAAGTTTTGCGTTTGATCATCGCTATTATAAATTGTTCCTCGAAATTACTTTCGATTGATTGAAACTCTCACGCGAAAGGGTTAAGAAGCATCGATATTTTCGATAAAAACGAACAAATTGAAAGAATTACATGATTTGGAGAAACATGAGCTTAAATATAGCGAAAAAAAGTGAAAACAATCATTGAAATTGTTATCGTTATGTCGACACTAGAACAATCGAAAATTATTATTTTCATTTTTACATTTTAGATCGTACAGATAATTATATATGATCTAAAATACAAAAATATAAAAATGAAAATAAAATTAATTTTCGGATATATAGTATATAATTTTTCGATTGTTTCTGTGTCAACATAACGATAACAATTTTAATCATTGTTTTCACTTTTCGCTACATTAAGCTCATGTAAGCAAATCATACAATTCTTACGATTTGTTTGTTTTCATTGGAAGAAGAAACTCCGATTAATTGTCGGAGCAATTAAATAAAATTAACGATTATTTAACGTATGAGTTTGCAAATTCGCAACTTCGCGCTCGTTG